TTTCAGTCCACGCATATATGCAAAGAAGTGCAACATTTTGACGTTAAATTTTTTATTTCGTCCGCAGGCGTTTTGCAGAAAAATACATTGTGCGTCTAGCCGCCGGCGATAGGAAATGAACAGTAAAATTTCAGACAAAAGCCATCCCGATTATTGCGTTTTCTGATTTAGCCAATGAAGCCATGATCATTTTCACGAAGGAAATTGTTCACAAGGATGCTGAAAACAGCTCAGGACTGGTTTCGCCCTTCTTAATGCTCATCAGAGGACTGCGCTTTCCTGATGAGCCACAAGAAGAGCGAAAACAATCGTGAGCTGTTAAAGAGCTTTCAGCAAACTTGTGAGTAGTTTCTTTCATGAAAATATGATGCGATATCTCGAATGTCGTGTCAACTGAAACATGAGGCGGTCTGTGTGCAGCACATTCAGCTGGAGAACATCATAAATGAGAGATTCAATTGAGTCTCCCGTGAAAACCAAATTGATTTGCAGATGAGTGTATTTCTCGAAAACAGTGCAATTTGGGTTCAAGCAGATCATAAAGTTGACGGAAACTCGGGGACTGCGCCGACCTGATGAGCCCCAAGAAGGGCGAAACCGGTTGTGGGCTGTGAAAGAGTTTTCAGCAACCTTGTGAGTAGTTTCCTTTATGAAAATATGATGCTGTATCTCGAATGTCGTGTCAACTGAAACATGAGGCGGTCTGTGTGCAGCACATTCAGCTGTAGATTATCATAAACGAGAGATTCAGTTGAGTCTGTAGTGAAAAAAACCAACTCGATTTGCAAGTGGGTGTATTTCTCGAAAGCCATTATCATGCTTATCACTCAGTGAACTCGTGAAAGGTTACCACTCAAGATAAACTGTTGAAGTCAACAGTCCTAATATATTCCAGCCCTTTCCAACCAAGGTTCCCCACTTACACTGAACCGAGTTCGCGACTCACTGGCTTCCAACCCGAGTTCTGACCCTTTGAACACGTGAGTTCACGGCTTCTGACTATGGCCAATCATGACTGAGGTCGGCATTTGTCTGTTGGCACGCCACTTAAACAATGAGGGCGCTAGTGTCTCCATTGTGTCGTTCATGGCTTCATCAAGTTTCGAGAACTTCTGCGCGGTCAGCAGCTTCAGTTTTAACTCCATTAGAGCAGAAATATTTTCCTCATATTGGCAATCGGGAAATCGTCGGCTTTGGACGCAATGGAACGCCAATGTATTACGATGATGTTCAATATCCCTATCCCGGCATACGATTTCGCAACCATACGGATGAGGTATCCTGTATGATATTTGACTACCAATTCGCTAGATAGCCGCACTTCGACAAAAGGAGGAGGGCTCGTGGAAGAATCTCACTCTGGATGAAGTCAACACTTTGTATCGCCACAGCTTCTGCCGCACGCTCGCAGAGGCCACTGCTCCCTTGGGCATTTGGAAAATGGGCGTCGGCTGGATGATGATTGTTTGTTCTGCTGGGCTTTTGACCTACATCTATCTCAAAGGAGTTCGTAAGTTTCATATTTTTACCCTGATACCTAAACAGTTCTCGATATTCCTGATAATGTGGCTATGCTTCCGGAATACAAAGAGGCAATAAAATACAAGCGGATAATGGGACGCAGAGGATCCGTAAAAGAGGTCTTGGATTTCGACGTGAAAACAAAGACTTTCCGCGACTCAGCCTACATGGAGTGATTGTAGCCGTTCAGATGTGATCCGTGTCCTAATTCCGAAATATACTCGTAGTTTAACATAGGCTCCTCTTGTGTTTTATTCCTTGACTAGATTTCCGCAACTTCATTACCCATTTACTACCTTTAGTTATCGGTTACCTTTCGCTCATTACACATCGTCCGGCGGTTAGCCACGGCTGCAGAAAGCGCCTTAGAGGGAGTATTGCGCAAACGTTTCGAGCATGCTCGTCTCATTGCGGTCTCGGATATTAGTGGTAAGCACTTCTTTCAAGGCTTGTATCTGCTATGCAGGGGGTTGTGGTGCAATGTATCGTGTAGTTGTTGAGTCCGAGGATTTCGCGGATATGTCAGTTTTGGCCCAGCACAGGGCAGTGAAGGAGGTTTGTTCAGTTCGGCATATAACTTTATTTTAGGCCCTACGTGAGCACATCAAGTCCATGCATGGAATCACTATTGTCACAAAGGAATAATTTCATTTTCCCAACTATAATTCCGATCGGATAGTAGCGGTGGCTCCTAGATTCATATATATGTGACCAGCGGTTATTCTTTTTTACTGGGGTTATTCTGTAGTAATTGAGTGCCGGGCGCACCACGAAAGGTTTCTTGACTTGAAAACATGCAGCACTCATTCGCTTCGGTGGGTCAAAGTCCAACTTATCGGTCGGCCAACTTAAGGCTAATTACAACAAGTATTGAATGCTCAGGTAGGACCCGAAGTACGACTGTTGTACAACTTTATATTCAACCGTCTTCGAGGAATCAGGGTAGTGTGGGCGTTGGAATATGCACCCTGTTGTCGTTCATATTGTGATTGACTCTTCGAAGGCAGATGGAGTCATGCCTTCTTGGTGCCTAGAGCAGGCGGAGACTAATATGGACCCCATTCCGGTAGGCAAACAGCACCAAATCGCCCAATTTTTTGTAACATTCGTCATTCCGTTCTGCCGTGTCCATCTTTATCCACCTCCAGCTTTTCGCCACTTCAAATCAGGCACGAGGAACAGCTCTCGTGGTGGCGTACGTAACATGACCTAGCCACCTTAACTGGTAATGCTGGTTTGAATTTCTTGTGCGGATACCTTCTGCTTTACCAAAATCTGATTACCCAACTGCGAATTCGTTGGTTCCAGCCGATTCCAGCTATACTTCTGAGGCATCAGTGGTAAAAACACCTGAAAATATCTCAGGCCCCTGCCGAGAGTGGCCAGCTGTCAACCATACAACAAAATGTGACGTTCAGAGTGTGTCCGAGAGCGAGTTAGAACAGAGTCGGGGTTTTCGAGGATAAGCAACGTTTTACCTGTCTAAGAACAAGCGTGCGTGAGCTGAAATGTACATACAAAGGTTCAGTACGAGTATATATATATATATATATATAATGAGCACACAAAAATCATGACATTCACCCCGACATTGTTTGAATCGACACATGAACTGACGCAGACAGCGGACGATGTACTGAATCAGGCTTCTCTGTTCCTCAAACCTTAAGGATGATTGGGTCGCTGCTCTTCTAGAGTTTCAGGATAACTCGGTTAGTATTCGAAGGACTGCACCGAAGAAGATTCAGGTGTTTGAGAGCTATCGGGCTGACGTCCGGTTGTTTCACTCTGGGTGTTCGGTATCCCCATTGGATTCAAATAGATTGATAACATTGTCAGTTGTATTCTTTTGGGGCTAGACAGCGAAGGGACACGGTTTCGACTCTTCCGTCTCGGTGAGCAATGTGTACGTAGTGTGGGTTGCAGTTAAGAAGGTTGAATTCTACTAGTGGTTGATACTTGGATGACCTATCACCTCGTTGCAGCAGAACTGGACCAGGGATGGTCAACCAAGATGGGAACGATGTTTCAAATGTTGATCGACGTACGTATTGAAACAAACGTTCGTGTGGAGTACAGTTAGTGGCCGTACATAACAATGATCGGAGTCTGTGTAGAGTATCAGCGGGTACCGATTCCCAATGGGAGGGTGGAAGATTGTGGGATTTGAACGCTAAGCTTATTGTTTTCCAGAGGGTACCATTGAGACGCTCAACTTGACCGTCACGCTGGATTATAAGCCGATATATGACTCAGCAACACCTTTCTCCAGAAGAAAGCTATTGATCTCAGACGACATGAATGATGAGCCTTTGTCGGAATGGATATAGACAGGGCATTCCGAACAGACAGAAGATTTGTGTGAGGCAGTCAATCACAGTTGCCGAAGTTATATCCGCACATGCGAATGCAAATGGGAATCTAGAGAACTCGTCAGTTATTGTAAGTAGCAGTTGTGTGTATTAGATGGCACGGGAGCTTTAAAAGCGTTCAAAAGGTTGTGTTGCTTTAATGAGTCTACCAGAGGATTTCCAGAATCTTGGCTTCAGTTCAGCGCACACTTTGCAGGAGTAGGGGAGATTCTCGCAACGCACGAAATGAAACATACGGGTAATGCCGGGATGGCAGAGGGAGTTATGGAGCTCTCCTAATTGGTTATTCCTCCCCATGGAAGCACATACGTTTCGTGACAGAGTGTCGGTGACAGGATTGTCCTCGCCAGGTCGGTATAGGACATCATACTTGTACTCGGACAACTCGACCCTCCAGCGTTGTATATTGTCACTGCACTTTACCGTTCTGTCCACCGCCGTACATGAATGTGACTGAATGCTGATCGGTGATCAGTTTGAAGGGTCTTGCGCCATTTCCCGATGGATCCAACGATAGCGTAGACCTCCTTCTCGATGGTAGAATGATTCTTCTCGCTCGAATTGAGTGTCCTCGAGAAAAAGGCCACCGGTCGATGGTTTTCGCTGAGGGATGCGGCTGTAGCCACATCGGAGGCACTCGTTGCAACAACTAAAGGCTCGTTATAGTCTATTGTAATTATTCGAGGATAAGTAACATTTTACTTATCTAAGAACAAGCGTGCATGAACTGAAATGTACATGCAAAGGTTCAGTACGAGTATATGTGGTAAGTATAATAATAAGCACACAAAAATCATATCACCCACCACGCAAGCAAACGTCGCTGGGTCATTTGACCGTCGATTGTTTGACAGAAGGGCCTTATGCTTCTCGCTGTCTATTAACAATAGACGAAATATCTTTCTTAATCCGCGAGGAGCTTTCAGCGTCCATACTCTGTCAAATTGGTAATGCTTGCTGAAACCTTATACTCCCATAAAATTGATGTATGCTGTGTCTCCGAAACACGCATACAAGACCCAAACGTGGTTATGCATCTCAGAATACCAAGGATGGACTCAGCTCCTTTGCATTTTCTCCCTCCATGTGTCCGTTTACCCAGAAGCGATGACCAGTGGATTAAATAGTGTGGGAGTTGCACTCAGTCCTAGAGTTGAACGCGCTCTGCTGGATTGGATCCCGGTCGTCTACGTTGTCCAGTTATCCAGCTGAATCAAGCTCAATGCCTCTCCTCATAAAAAGCGGTGCCTGTTTGTAGTATCGGCTTACGGCCCAACGGACTGTAGTTCTGGTGCTTAGAGGGGTGCTTTCTATCGAGAGCCATCCGGGCTCAATCATTAAGGAAAATGTACTGACATTTTGATAATTGCAGGCGATATGAATGCTTGTTTGAGCTCCTTGGAATCACTTTTGGGCGGTGGATTAGGAGTCGATGCTCGCTGCACATACAACGGAGAGTGGCTCCTCCAATTGTGTGCTGATCATGAACTGTTTCTGAAAAGTGCGAACTTTCAACACGAACTTTCGCATCGCGTAACTTGGCGACTGCCAACTGCAAACCAAATGTGGGCCCAACTGGATCACGCGGCCATCAGCCACCGGTGGATAGTCACAATTCAAGACTACTGTTCCTTCTGAGGCACATTACTTGATTCTGATCACTCCATGGTGCGTGCACGTTTGACAGTTCGCTTCCCTTCAGGCCCTCGCAAGTCAGCAAGAAACATCTCAATCCGCTATCTTCGAAGAACTATCATGGCTCAACATCTAGCCCAACAACCATCCATAATAAACCAATACTGTGGTGGCAGTGAGCATGTGGATGAAGCGTGGCAAAATGTGAAAGGAGCTATGCTATTGACGTTCATTGCTTTGTGCTAGTCTTCTACCATTCGACCGCAAGACCCCTGGATGTCGTCGAGATCCTTATAAATTATTGACGCCAGGAAATCCATACCAGCAGGCAACGAGTACGACGGCGCGTGCAAATCCCTCAAATGTCAAGCCTAAGGAAAGACAGCTCTGGTGGACATCGAAACCTCGGGAGATGGAGAAGGCTTTTGATACGGAAAACAACCGTGCCCTATATCAATCGATACGATCGGCTGGCCCTGAGAAAGTACTGGTCAGTGAAACGATAAGTGAGAAAGATGGCTCATTGATTCGCTCGCAAGAGGGTCGACTGGAAAGATGGGCTGAACACTTCGAACAACAGTTCAGCTGGCCCCCGAAACAAACAAGCAAATAAAGTACAAAATATCCGTACTAAAACGTGAGAAAGCGCCAGCCCTCTTCGAAGAATGCCGTGAATCTCTGGAGTGAAGAGAAAAGGCCTGCAGAATGAAGAATGTCGGCAGTTATCTCTGTCTTCAAAAAGGGTACGCGGACGCTGTGTAAAAACCACCGTGGCATCGAAGGTGCTTTCTGGATTTATCCTTCGAGGATTGGCTGGACACAGGGAGAGACAGATCCGTGAAAACCAAGCCGGATTCCGTCCTGCCAGAGGATGCATCGATCATATCTTCACCTTCCGACAGATTCTTGAACAGCGGTACTGCTCCCAGCAATCAACATTGGTTGTGTTTCTCCATCTGAAAGCTGTCTTTGACTCTGTGGACCGTCAGGCACTATGACAATGTCTGTGCAGCAAAGGTGTCCCCCATAAATTCTTGACCCTACTTCAGGCACTGTACACCAACTCCCGCGAACGTGTGAGGGTTTACGGGAAGCTCTCCTCTGAGTTCACCACATAAACTGGTGTCTGGGCTGTTCTCTTTCCCCTTCCCTCTTCAACTTCGTCATTGATACGATCATGGAAGACTCACTATCAGCCTTTAATGCCTGTGTGGCCGAACTGCTCTCGGGATATCCGCTCACAGATATCGAGTATGCAGACGACAGCTCTCCTTCGATCTGACCCTCGGTGACGAAAATAACATTAAATGATCTGAATAACTCTGCCTCAGTTTGACACACGCTTCACACCGGCAAGGTGTAAATTGCTACTGGATGGGCTCGGACACTGGGCTCATACTGGTGGATGAGCCGATTGAGGTAGCAGACCAATTTACCTGCCTCAGTGGTCTCACAAAACATGATATTTCCATCCGGATCGGGAAGGCCAGAGTGGCTTTTGTGAACCTGTGGCGTAGGCGTGACGTCAGCTTAACCGTTAAGGGTCGAATTTACAATTCTACGGTGCGCTCCAACTCACTATACGAATTAGAAACCTGGCCGCTGTGCGCCGAGAACGTCAATGCATAGCTCCGTTCC